AAGAAGCGAAAGATAAGCCTATATTAGTCAGGAATCATCCGATATATTGAACCAGATATAACTAAAATTAAATATGATATATATTTAGTTGAAATTTTTTGAAATATTTAAAATATTGAATTCTATTTTAGTGTCCAATCAATAAATATAAAACTAATAAAAATTAATTTTAAAAATGATACACAATTATTTTAATAGTTTTATTATAACCAGTCCAAACCTGTATAGTGATCATTATAATCAATTATTACAATTAAAATATTTTATAATATTTAAATTCAATTACTTCTGACATTGAGGATTATCTATATCTACATATTACCAAACATTTAATTATATACAATATCTATTATGTTAAATTAATTAAATTAATTATTTAACTTGACGTGGATGACGTATTTAAAACAGTATGTTTTGTCGGTGTATACGAAGGTTTAATTGTACAGGTTTATTAAAGCATAATCGGTATATAATAGCTATCAAAAAGTGGTTACAGTATATTTGCTACTTTTGTAGTATTCTAATTACTTTACTCAGTTTTCTAAGATTTTCACCAAAATAATGAATAATTATTTAATAATATTACTGTTATTTTGTGTGATATATCAATCAAGTATACCGTTATGTTGGGCCCAGACATACCGGTGCGATGTCGAGGAAAAGGTGACAAATAAGGCACTGAAAGAGATCTTTCTATTCGCGGCCGACAAACAAAAATTTCCCACAAATGGCGCCGAAATGAAGGGCTATTGCGAGTAATTATCAAAATTTTAAAAATTACAAACTTAACTAGAACATTAATTAAATATTTTTAATTTATTGTTATTTTCAGCGCAAACATTCAGAATGAGAAAGTGATTAAGACTTACGGCGACAAGTGTCTCAAACCTAACACCAAACGCATAGTGAATTTGCTGATATATTCAATCGTGAAAAATGGTGCAAGTACGTGTAAGTCTAAACGCCGTAGTCTGGACTTTCAGCGAGCAGGCAAATGCGGTAATGCTGGTCAGCCTGGTAATCGCAAGTGTTGGGACGAGTGGGTGATTGCATCGGGTGGTATAGCCGTGATTGATGATCATAAAATGAAAATTCCACTTTCATGCTGGTCAGTTTATACAGTAATATATTTATATAAAATATTATATTAATGTTTAATGAAACATTATATTTGTAAAATACAACAATATGAAATTTAAGGTATTATCATTCATATTCTTGGATTTCGAATGAACTTGGTATTTAATATAAATGTAATTATTGTAAGTTGGTAAGCTACAGTTACATTAAATAGAGTATAAACGAGAGTTTTTATATTAATTGCAGTGAATAATTTAATTATATTAATTTTATACTAATTATAACATATTATTTAACCACGATATATTTTATCCACACAGTTATGTAGCAAAAGTCAGCGCATGTTTATCCCGATCATTTGAAAAGCAATCGAAAGTGTGTCCGCGAAAGTCGATTGAATATTTGGACACTTTGTTTGGTATATACCTGACAGACATAATGGCATTACTTTGTGGCGACTATACGGCCGATAACGACAAATGCGATAAAATTATCGATAAAATGCCAAAACTTAAAAATA